TTTACGTCTAAAGTTGAGAGATTTTAATGAACTCCACATGGTTTCTCAAACAGTTGACAGGAAATGTTTACAAATTTTTGTAAAATTGTAAACAATGCAATTATGTAAGTGACAACCAATCATAAATTAGATTGTGGGAAATGGAACTAGGTTATTCGATATGGATAGTTACGCATATGATTTACTGATTTGCTGTTTTAGATATAGAAGCATTTCATAATCTTTTTGGTAACACAACGATGTTCATATGCTTTTTAGGTGTTATGTTAATAGCATTAAAAATTACAAAAGGTTTTCTTGCTTTAAAAAAAAGAAGTTAATGGAGCTTTGTAACTCAAAAGGTTTATAAATTTCCCTAAAAAAGAAGTAATCCCAATACTAAATTCACAAAAAGCTTTCTGTTTTCAAAAATTTAGACTGACGTTTTCTTTTTTTAGTTAGTTGATAAAGTTTTCTTAATTTGTAAAGTTGGCTCTTTTTCCTCTATAAAATTTAAAAGTGTAACTGAACATATATATATAGTTTTATCACTTTGGTGTCGCTCTCTTTCCCCCTTCCAATACCGGTTCCTTCACTTTATTCTCAACCACATTTCAATACATTAAAGTTTCAAAACCAAACAAAGGAGTAATAAATAAGTTAAAATTTTGGCAACTATAATGGTTGATTATGTCACACAACCCATTTATACTACTTGATAAACAAAATCGGTAAAAGGGTCCATATTGAACGATCCTATTTCCGCAAAGAGTTTTCTGCATAACTAAGATTTGACTAGATTATGTATCCGAATTTTAATTTAATTTTTTATTAATGCCAATTTTTGAATTATTGAATTTTAAAAAATTTTACTTTACTCATTTTCATTATCTTTTTATAGTAGTAAATATATATTTTTTCACTTTTTACTATAATTTTTTTTGTTATCTTATATGATTCACTCGTCGTCTCTCGACATATATTTTTTTCACTTTATATTTGCTCACATATAATATACTCGACTATGAATTACTTCTCAAGATAGATAGTATATATTTTCTCATTCATATCTTTCAATACTCAACTTTTTTTTTTATAAGTTGCATGATCTTTTTATTAAAGTGAACATTAAAACAATCTCGGGAGATATTTGTCATAAAGTTTCTTTGACCATGTTTGGTGCATGTAAAATTGCTTTATAGATAAAAAGTCTCATATATGGACGCGTTCATATTCACAAACATCAGATTTCAACATCAAATTTTGCACTTTATCTTGGCCGTTTGAAAAATACAAAAAACAAATTCACATATACAATTAATTTGACGTATATTATGATTCTATATAATATTCTTAAGGTTGATTTATGTAAAATTCGTAACTTAAGAACTGATATAAATAATTCTAATTTTGAAATATATTTTTTTAATCCTTAATTTGTACTTCTAATTAAAAACTCTTTAATATACCATCACTATTCTAATTTCCTAATAGCATTCGCAAATATTATTATTACACAGTTTATTATTCGATTGGATTATTTTATTTTTATTTGTGATGTTTAATATAGTTTTTGTTTTATTTTAAATCACCTAAAAATTTTTCGATCTATGTTAAAATTCCATAAACACTGATTAATATTTAGTTTTTATTTCAGGTATTCATTTGATTTTTAAAAAAACCCGCCACTTTTTAAATTAGAAAACATAGATGATATAGAAAATTTTATTAATGTAACTATTTATATTATATTATAATTATAATTATAAATAAAAATGTGTATTCAATCCTTCTTATTTTTAATCATTATCATGAATTGATACTTTAACATTAAAAATAGATTTTTATCTTTAAATGTGTATTTTTCAAAATGAATTACTTTTTATTTTCGGCATAAATCTTTAAATTTAGTATATTTTTAAGTCTTGTTTTTTTATTATACTAAATAATTGTAACTCTTAAAAATGACTGTTTTATCATTAAAATATATGATAAGTTCTTTTTTATAGTCATTTAGGAATATTTACTCATTATATGTTAAGATATAATTATCTAATTTTATATTTATCCAATCTCTATTCAAAAATTTCATATTTTGTGTTATAAATATTTAATTTATTGTTTTGTTAATTATTTTTTTTGTTTAATGAAATGTAATAATATAAATTATGAAATATGTGAATTAATTATAGTTTTTATGTTTTTTCTAATACATAAAATATGTGGAACCCACACAAAATTAAAATATGATGAGTTGGATGATGATGTGGACACTCTAGATGGAGAGACAACTCTCCCATTATATATATAGATTCAATCCTTCTTATTTTTAATCATTATCATGAATTGATACTTTAACATTAAAAATAGATTTTTATCTTTAAATGTGTATTTTTCAAAATGAATTACTTTTTATTTTCGGCATAAATCTTTAAATTTAGTATATTTTTAAGTCTTGTTTTTTTATTATACTAAATAATTGTAACTCTTAAAAATGACTGTTTTATCATTAAAATATATGATAAGTTCTTTTTTATAGTCATTTAGGAATATTTACTCATTATATGTTAAGATATAATTATCTAATTTTATATTTATCCAATCTCTATTCAAAAATTTCATATTTTGTGTTATAAATATTTAATTTATTGTTTTGTTAATTATTTTTTTTGTTTAATGAAATGTAATAATATAAATTATGAAATATGTGAATTAATTATAGTTTTTATGTTTTTTCTAATACATAAAATATGTGGAACCCACACAAAATTAAAATATGATGAGTTGGATGATGATGTGGACACTCTAGATGGAGAGACAACTCTCCCATTATATATATAGATTCTTGAAAAATGCTAAATTTAAAGATAGACCAGGTCAATGGCACAATTAGCCCTGGGCGTTCAGTTGTTCGGTTCGGTTATTCGGTTATTCGGTTCTAGGTACTTAGGAACCATAAGAGAACCAAACTGTTTTCGGTTTTGTTCGGTTCGGTTAGCTTTCGGTTCGGTTCGGTTTGGATACTTGAGAAGAGAACCATAAAATAACCGAAATACTTTTGGGTATGGTTCGGTTCGGTTCGGTTCGGATAGTTACCCACCAAATAACCATACTATCCAAATAACCGAACCATTACTCGAATAAAAACAAATTGTAATACTAATAATGTATGCAAATATGAACCAAAAGTTTCAAAATGCAATAATTCAAGTTGCAAATCCAAAAAATGAGAGACTTAAGAGTTGAAACCGTAACAAAATAATCATGTTCAAAAGAGATTTGAGAAAGAGAGAAAGAGAGAGATTAGAGTAAAGATTATTAGATTCTACAAGCATCTTCAAGTCCTTGAGTTGATCTTCCATTCTTCTCTTCCTGTGACACAATCACACACACTAACACACATAACAATTAACAAGAATTTATTCTTACCAAATATTAATTGTTACAATAACACTCACGTAGTCACACTCACACACACAAAGGTACAATAACAATTAACAAAAATCTATTCTCTCTTCTCTTTTTCATTTTAGAAAACAGAGCATGCAATTGATAAAAAAAAATGAAACGCTGAATCGAAGACAAAATAATCGAAGATAAGCCTCTTTAGTCAAATGTGTTTGGTTTAAAATGGACATCCATGGATATCGGTTCCGTTCGGTTAATAACTGATATCAATGGATAGCTGAGAAGAGAACCATTCAGTTATTTAGCAATATCCAAAACCAAAAATTTCGGATATTTTCGGTTCGGTTCGGTTCGGTTTTTCGGGTTTGGTTTTTATGCCCAGAGCTAGGCACAATATAAGTAAGTATTTCTTCATAATTTAATTTAGTGCACATAGACGACTTATTTTACTCCAATGAAAATTAGTTAATTCGTCAAACGTCACTACTTCTCTCCAAGATTTGTTGTGCTTTACTCTTTTCGTCTATTTCATGCTTCCACAATCAGCTTTTTACGTCGACGTGCTCTACAAATCGAAGTGGACGTGGCGGCAACCACTTATACAATTATACATAAAATAAACCTATATAATATATAGTTAAGGTCCTGGTGGATTTATATATTCATCGTTTAAGGTTTTAGATTGGTCTCCACCACCTTAGATTGCCAACTCTGAAAACGTCATGCGCTATCTTCATTGGTTATATCCATTTGGCTCCATCAACCAAAAAGCTATAATGATTTTCCCCATATCCTAAATACTTGTAGTTACTATACATTTGGGTTCTGTAGAATTACTACAATACTTAAATTGCTCTTAGTTAATTTTAAACTAATAGAAATCATACATTACGTCACTTACTACGTTCCCACTAAAAATATAGGCAAATGCAATCAACTGATCAAGTGATGATGACTTTTCAAGAGCTCGTAGATTCCCTAAAAATAAATAAATTGACATGTTGAGGATCAAATGAATTAAGAGATGTATAAGAGGTGCTAGGTAGACTAGATATGACTAGATTCCAACTTAATTAACTGTATTTAATTTCTTTATAGATGAATGAACACTTAAGGCTTTTAGCCTGTAGCTTCCATATATATAAACAGTGTTCAAGAAAGCGCTAGGCGCTAAGCGGGCGGTGATTCAGTGCCTAGCGCCTAGAACGCCTAATCGGGGCCTAGGCGATTTTTTAGGCGGTTTAGACGTTTATAACATAATACATTATAAATATGATATTATATATAAAAGTTATATAAAATATTAATATAAAACTAAAAATTATGAAATTATAAACAAAAACTAGATAAAATATTTATTTATATTTATATTAAACAATATATGAATATTTATAACTATATATATATATATATATAAATAAAACTCTAATTGAAATTGAAAAAATACATTAAACAAGATCTATGTAATTTTAGGCGGTCAAAGCGGTTATCTAGGCGTCGAATGAGAGCCTAGCGCCTAGTCGGGGCCTAGGCGACCGCCTAGACCGCTTTTTAGAACAGAGTATATAAACCATAGCTGTTGATTGTATATATGGAGATCAACCCTTAAAACTTCAAAGACTATATATATCTCACCTTCAAGAACTAAGAGAAAGCTACACATATATGGCAAGTCTCAAGTTATGGGTTTGTTTGGTCTTGCTTCTAGTACTCAAATTGACCTCGGTGAACGAATGTAGACCTTTGGTTGCGGAAGAGAGCTTTTCTGGTTCAAGCCGTTTGAAAAAGATTAGACGTGAACTTTTTGAGAGGTTAAAAGAGCTTAAGGTGAGATCAGAAGGCGAAATGACGATCCTTGGAGATACTCTTGACTCTAAGCGGCTTAGTCCCGGTGGTCCTGACCCAAGGCATCACTGACTTAGAGGAATGCAAAAAAAAAGAGGGTGTAAGGTGACATTCTTGGGAGAGGTTTTAATATGATTACAACTTTTTAACTAAATCGTTACGGTGTAATGTATTCGAGCTCTAATCTTCAAAAACAGGAAAGATATGTGTCTGTCACCTAAAGCAGCTTGCTCGATATATATATGTAATGTGAGTATGTGACATTCTTATGTTACATTATCGTTTGCCTCGTCTTGGTTATTTAGAGATTCTCTCTATACGATTTTTAGTTCGTTCGATCGGTTTGGGTTTGCATATACATGCATGGTACGTCAAATGATTTAGGTACTTCAGTAGTTTGCGATTGTTCATGAATGTTTCTCTAACAAATCTATACTATTTATAAAAGCACTATATTTAGCTTATTTCTGAGAGCCATTCCCCAATTTCACTAAATATGAGTTTATACATAATATTCAGATTAACGAAAAACACATCATTTAGTTTATTTATTATGCCTAAAACTCACAATTGTAACTAACAAATAATAAATTTTTTAAAAAAACTAACAAATAATTACATAGATAATTATATACATATATATATATATATATATATATGTATATATATATGTTTTAAATATCACTTAGTTTGTGTTTGAAACAATCAATATAGACTATACACTTAATTAAACAAGAAAAAAAATTACCCTTAAAACAGAAAACGTGTAAAACTTTGATAGGAATTTTTGCCCACAAAGATATAGTGAAATCTGAGAGCATTCAAAGAAAATTCAATACAGAATATTGTTAGAGAAATATATATGTTTGCTAATTGACAACAAGTGTATGTATTTTTACATTACTCATGGGATATACATGAATGATGGGAATGGGATAAATCATAGATGTTTTGGGAAAATTTTCTAAAGAAGATTTTTTTTTTATCTTTTCTATTGCGTGTCATCACATGTTTGTCAGAAATAATGAGAAACTGGACAAAAAAATCTTGCTCTAGAAAATATCCAAATAATACAAAAAATTGACAAAAAAAAATGCCAACGTTGGATATTAATTGAATTAGAACCAGATTTAAAGAAGAAAATCATTCAAAATAAATTGTTTTATTTATTTTACTTGAGTTATCTTTTTTCATATTTAAAATATGATTATAGTCTATAGATGACATAGCTTTGATTAGGATATTTGGGAAATTGATTAGTTTTAAGGCCCAAACCTAAAGAGCAATCCGGGTCGGGTAAAACGAGCAAAATCTAAACGCTGGTTATTTCTTCTTCTTCCTCTCGCTCTTGCGGCGCCTTGTCTCTCCCAAGCTCGCAGGTAACAAAGCTTCCTCCAATTTCTCCTTTTTCGATCAATCAATTTCCTTCTCTGTTTCCCTTTCCTCACGCAAGTTTTCTCCTTTGGTTTTTGTCGATCTCAAAGCTCAGACAGAGATTCCAATGACCTAATTGTTTCGTTTCCTATCGAGACTTTACGCAGACTCTTCTGAGATTTTATCTTACACAGTCGGCATCTACTTGTTTCATCCAATTGATTGCTGTGAATCAGAAACCCTAATTTCGTGCGGTCTCAAAAAGTTTGCACACTCTCTCAGAATCGAGCCAAGGTTTCGTCTAGAAATTAGGGTTTCTTAGGTTTTTATGGTGGAGGATATTGTTTCGGCCGATTCGAGGGCTTTCCGTTAGTTTTAAACGGGAGAAGTGAAGAAAAGGCATCAATCAATCGAGAGCAATTAAGGCGTGAAATTAGGGTTTCTGAAGTATATGTATGGCTTCGGAACCTGTTAACGTAGGAGAAGGTATCGATGGAGCTAGAGATAAGCAAAGCATTAAAGTTTATAAGAGGAAAGGCAAAGGTCAGAGAAAACAGTCACCTTTCTTTGCCTTTGAGGCTAGTGTTGGTGCCATCGATAAACCAGAGGGGCAATTAGATAACGAGAATGATGTGAGTCCTCCTGAAACCCTTGCTCGAGAGTCGGTGGATCCTATATCTGTGGTGAAGAATTCTGTTGAAGAAGCTGCTCTTGGGACTAACTCTCAGGGAGACAATGTGGCCACTATAGCCAAAAACTCAACTGTGCTTGGTGATGATTCAGACAAAGTCATTGACAAGCCTCTTATCGAAGCATTTCCTCAAGCCGAACCTCAGGATGATACGAGTTTGGTCGCTATGGAAACGTCTGTCGAAGTACCCTCTCAGAGACACAAATCTCAAGATGATGTGAATACAGTGGTTGTCGATGAGAACTCTATCAAGGAACCTCCTAAAATCCTTGCCCAGGAAGATGATTCTACTGTGATTGTTGACAAGAACCCTATTGAAGCACCTTCTCAAACTCTGTCCGTGGAAGATGGCAATACTCTTGTTGTCGACAAGAATCCCATTGAAGTGTCTTCTGAGGAAGATGTCCACGTGGTAGATGCAGATAATCTTATAAAAGAAGCTCATCCTGAAAACTTTGTGGAAAGAGATGCCACTGATGCCCAACAACCCGCAGGGCTTACTTCTGATTCTGCTCGTGCTACTGCTGCTGGAAGCATGCCAATGGAGGAGGACGCAGATGGACGTATTAGGATACATGTAGCTTCCACAACGAAGCAACAGAAAGAAGAGATCAGGAAGAAGCTTGAAGATCAGCTTAGCGTGGTCAGAGGAATGGTAAAGAAGATAGAGGATAAAGAGGGCGAGATTGGTGCATATAACGATTCTCGTGTTTTGATTAACACTGGTATTAATAATGGAGGAGGAAGGATTCTGTCAGGGTTTGCCTCAGCTGGACTTCCTCGTGAAGTCATCAGAGCACCAAGGCCTGTAAATCAACTAAGTATATCAGTGTTGGAGAATACTCAGGGAGTCAATGAGCATGTGGAAAAGGAGAAAAGAACACCCAAGGCAAATCAGTTTTATAGAACTTCAGAGTTTTTACTAGGTGACAAGTTACCACCTGCAGAGAGTAACAAGAAATCAAAATCGAGTTCAAAGAAGCAAGGAGGGGACGTTGGGCATGGTTTTGGTGCAGGGTCTAAAGTTTTCAAGAATTGCAGTGCTCTGCTTGAAAGGCTGATGAAGCATAAGCATGGTTGGGTGTTCAATGCTCCAGTAGACGTGAAGGGTCTAGGTTTGCTTGATTATTACACCATTATCGAGCACCCTATGGATTTGGGAACTATCAAGTCTGCGTTAATGAAGAATTTGTACAAGTCACCAAGAGAATTTGCAGAGGATGTTAGACTTACTTTCCACAATGCCATGACTTACAACCCAGAAGGACAAGATGTCCATCTCATGGCGGTAACACTATTACAGATCTTTGAGGAAAGATGGGCTGTAATAGAGGCAGATTATAATCGTGAAATGAGATTTGTCACTGGTTATGAAATGAATCTTCCAACTCATACAATGAGGTCTAGACTGGGTCCTACGATGCCGCCACCACCTATTAATGTGAGGAATACGATAGACAGAGCAGACTGGAGTAATCGTCAACCGACTACAACACCTGGAAGTACACCGACCAGTGCAACACCTTCTGGAAGGACACCTGCTCTGAAGAAGCCGAAGGCAAACGAACCAAATAAAAGAGATATGACGTATGAGGAGAAGCAGAAGCTTAGTGGCCACTTGCAGAACTTGCCTCCAGATAAACTAGATGCAATTGTACAAATTGTTAATAAGAGGAATACTGCTGTGAAGCTACGGGATGAAGAAATTGAAGTCGATATTGATAGTGTTGATCCAGAGACCCTGTGGGAGTTAGACAGATTTGTAACCAACTATAAAAAGGGCTTAAGCAAGAAAAAGAGAAAAGCTGAGCTAGCTATTCAAGCTAGAGCAGAAGCCGAGAGGAATAGCCAACAACAGATGGTATTTGTACCTCTCCTGCGAAAACCATTCCCCTTTTTTTTCTTTCTTTTTTTACACTTAGATTGTATGCTTACCTTTGTTGTTTTTTCCTTAATTGCAGGCTCCAGCACTAGTGGCACATGAGTTTTCTAGGGAGGGTGGCAACACAGGTAATTTTGCCTGTTCCTTTTATGAATTACTTGCCTCTTTTTGGTGTGAACAACTCACGAATAATAACTCTTACTGCAGCTAAAAAGACACTTCCTACACCACTACCTTCTCAAATGGAGAAGCAAAACAATGAGACAAGCAGATCAAGTAGTTCAAGCAGTTCTTCCAGTGGTTCCAGCTCTTCTAGTGGTACATGCTTCTCCCCGAGTTATCTAACATGCTCTCTGATATATTGCTTTTGTGATTTTTGTGATCTAAATCCCTCTGTGTTGGGCGTGCAGATTCGGACAGCGATAGCTCTTCGTCATCTGGATCAGATCAGACCTAGAAACTAGTGTGTACAAGAGGGACAAAGATGTAAGGTCATCTCTCTATTATCCACTGTTGACCTAAATAGCATATGTGTTAGTTAGTTGAATCATTTATCAACATCATCTTCCTTGTCGTTATTTCTGCATGGTTCTAAAACTTGGCATGTATTTATTTCACACCTGGTCCATATCCCGGATAGTTTGTTCTATTTGCTGATAGTTTTTACTATCTTAAAAGAAAGGGTCTCTGATTATTTCACATCAGGTCCATATTACGGATAGTTAGTTCTATTTGCTGATAGTTCTTACTTGCTTAAACCAAAGGGTATTTGATTATATATGTGATCAATGTCTGATGGTTTATGGTGGAAACACAGGGCGTTAAAAAAGATGAAGGGTAGAGTAGAAGAGGATTTGGGAGGTGAAAGAAGGAAGGATGATGAAGTACAGACTTGAGGCAAGAGAAGTATTAGAGGGAGTGGATGGAAGGAAAAGATTGTGTATCATATTAAAATCACTGTTAGAGTAAAAAAGGAAAAATCTATTATTCTTAATTTTTTTTGTTTTTTTTCTTTTTCTTTTGACATAGTAGGAATCTGTGTCTGTCTACATTTAGATGTAACCGTAGGGGTTGGGTTTGGTGTCTCACTTTGTATATCTCTCTCTGCCTCTCACTTTCTATGGTCTGTAGCGGTTTAGTTGGGTTGACTGTTTCATGATTTAGTGTTAGTTAGGGTGCTTTTGAATCAAAGATTCTGGATTCTTGAAAACTTGTACTAGTTAGTGTATGCTTTTGTGAGTTTGTCACCCTTTTTTTAGCATTGTTTTCTTCTTATTGCTTCATTGCCCCGTTAAACTCATTCTTCTATCTCTCTGATTCTCGATTCGATCTAGCATTGGATTGTTGGTGAAAATTACACCCAAAAAAGGAAAATCAAACGAAGCTATAGCATAACAGTTTTACTAAAGAGATCTGATGTCGGAATTTATGGTTTAGTTGACGATTTAGCAATGTAAGTTCTTTGAAGGATTTATCTGTATAAACAAAATATAAAGGGGTTTAAGTAACACTTGAAATTTGTGTAAGGTTTGTTTTAGTAAAAATGTATAGTTTGGTTTTTGATTTTGCAATTTTGGCAAAGATTAAGCAATGTGTGTGTGAAGAAGCAAGTGAAGAAGAAGCATTATTCATTCACTTGGGAGGGTAGAGAAGAAGAATGTTGTTGATTCATCATCTGCGTGCGTTTCCAACGACTTGTCTGTCTCCTCGTTCTCTCACCATTTCCTCGACGAAGCGACAACACAAGCTTTGGTCTGGTCTCGACAACTGGAGAAAGAGTCCTGTCAATGACCTCCGTCTATGGGGTCCTACTGGTCCTCTCCTTCCTTCTTCTGACTCCATATCCCCCGGCTTCTACGGTCTCGTCTCGGCGGCGTCTTCCCTCGCTGATCTCGGAGCTCTCGTGCTCTCAACCTCCGATCCTCTCTCCAAATCTCATATCTCCCATTTGGCTTTCTCTCGTTGGCGCCATGAGAATCTCCCTGTTGGCTCAATCTCTCATCTTCCTTCTTCTCCAGCTCGTCCTCCCAAACCTCTCCTCGTTCGTGTTCCTCCTCCCTCCCTTTTTACTCTCAATCTAATTTGATCAAATTAGCTAAATTTGTTTGTATTTTTGCAGGTTGCGACCAACGAAGTTCCAAATCCGAAAGACTCAAACCTTCCTCTCAATGCTCATATGCTTCATAATCTAGCTCATGTCGAGCTCAATGCTATTGATTTGGCTTGGGACACTGTTGCTCGTTTCTCTCCCTTCTTCGACGTTTTGGGTCGCAACTTCTTTGATGACTTTGCTCATGTTGCTGATGATGAGAGTCGCCATTTCTTGTGGTGTTCCCAGAGACTCGCTGAGCTTGGTTTCAAGTCTGTTTAGATTCTAAAGTTTCCAACTTTTAATTGGTATTGTTTCAGGACAACCATTTAACTCTTACTCTCTTCTTCTTCTTCTTCAAGGTATGGAGATATACCGGCTAATAATTTGCTCATGAGGGAATGCGAGAAGACATCCAACAATGTCGCTGCTCGCTTGGCTGTTATCCCTCTTGTTCAGGTACTTCTCCTCCACTTATCTGATATGGCCGATTTCTATTAGCCGGGTGATGGCATAATTCTTACCAATTTAATTATACAGGAGGCTAGAGGACTTGATGCTGGACCTAGGTTGGTCAAACGGCTGACGGGCTTCGGAGATAATAGGACTTCTAAAATCGTGGCTAAGATCGCTGAGGAGGAAGTTGCACATGTAGCTGTTGGTGTAGACTGGTTTCTCTCTGTGTGTCAAAAGATGAACCGTGCTCCTTCCCCTACATTTAAAGGCATACACAAGTCTTCTTTTCCATGCTTCTATCTATTCTCATCTTTCCCTGTTCGTTTTATACAAACATCATAAACATGTTTTCAACCATATGTGCGGTGCAGATTTGATCAAAGAGTATGGTGTCGAGTTAAGGGGCCCTTTTAACCACTCAGCTCGGGAGGTAGCTGGCATTCCGCGAGATTGGTAAGGAAACTCATCCCACCAAGACTGTGCTTGAATAATAAATCTCCAGTCACACTTTCTCTATATCATCCCACCAAGACTGCGCTGGTCTTCCCTCAAATTATCTCCAGTCACATTCTTTCATAACCTTGCTCATCTAAATGGCTTTCTCTATATCAACATTCCAGTATAGCGTAACAGATTAAATGGGCTTATTCCATATATCTTTAGGTATGATCCATCATGTGGCACAGAAGTAGATAAAGGCGATAACAAACAGGGTGACAAGGAGCAACTTTCTGCAGTATGTTTCTTCTTTGTTCGTTTTTCATAGCTATGCTACTGGCGGAGGCAAATTCTTGCTGAAGATTTGATATTTGATTAAGTTTCAATGTATGATCTTTGTTGCATCACAACAGGTTTATGATAGGCTCACTCACATTATTTCGATGGAGAGTGAGAATTCAAGTCTCGGAAGGCCAGCCAAATGAAATGATTGTCGGAGTCTGATTGATGCGCTGGCGTTATAACTGATGAATGAGTGTCAGGCGTAATTTCTTGGGCTCTGGAAGTACAAATTAATGTTTTTTCGTACAAAGTAGTTCAAATCTAACGTT